TATTCTACAAAACACAGTGCATTAAAACCAGACAGGGGAGATTGGTTTCCTTAAAGATTTCCCTGTGTAAAAGGTAAAAGTTGGGGAGATTGTGCTGAAATCCACCATTAACACACAGCCATCCTTAGAAACGGTAGAGCATTAGGACTCAGGGACAAACTTGGAAGGAAGAGGGAAAGAATGCTGTTCAAACCTCAAAACTGTTCTCTTAAATTTAAGTTAACTATTGTCTATTGTGCAAATATGTTTTAAGTAGTAGCAGCTACTACTTTGGACTCTAAGAATATCTTATTAATAAAAAAATCTGCCCTTTTGAAGTTTATATTCTGTTGGATGATTCTGTAGTATCTACCTCTCATCTATCTCTCCTGTGAAGATGCTGGTAAGCACTGGGGTGGTCTGATCTGGGAAGCCTTCACTGACAAGAGTGCATAAGAGGCTTGAAGGAGGTAAGGGCAGGAGTGAGCCATATTGATTACCTGCTGGAAAGACCTTGCAGACTTCCAAGTGGTGGCTTCATGGGAGAGTTGAACACACAAGTCTGGATCCCTGTGAGAAGTCAAGAGTTGAGGGTCACTTGCACAGAGCCTCTATTTCAAAGACAGGACAAATGAGACTACCAAGGAAAAGTGTGTGGTTGCAGAAGAGAGGCTCTGCACAGCTTAGAAGGGCATAGGACCAATTAAGCAGCAACTACCATTGAGTAGCAGGAGGACTGTGGTGCCAAATAATGCAAAAGGTACACTTAAAAAATGAAAGGATGGTAAACTCTGCTGGATAATACTAAGGGCTCAAATGAAATCAGAACAGATCTGTATGCTCCCTGGCTTTGGCAGTATGGAACTCATGGGTGAGTACTGCAAGAGTAATGTCAGTGGCGTGATGGAGTCATAAGTTTTCAAACTGGTTGAGGAAGGTCTGGTGTGCATCTCAGAGGAAGAGTTGCAAAGACGTAGTTCTTGAGGACTCCAGAAAGTGGGATTCAGATCACAAGTGGAAGGTTTAACACTAGAAACAAATACAGAGTCTTTTTCTGTAGTAGCAGAGGGAAAGACAGAGTGTAGATTCAGATGCAGAGAAGTCATTAGATTTGATGAAAGAGAAAGCAGAAAGTTCCTATTTTATTGTTCCTACTTAAGGCACAAGCTGGATGTGCATGGGGGATTGGAAGCCCAGGTCTGAGGGTGGGGAAGGATGTACCATAGCTGTAGAAGAAGCCACCTGACATGTTCATCTTGTAAGTTCTCAGATGTGACCCAGTGTGGTTTTTATTCCTCAGCCAAGAGACTGGAGTCATATCAGGAAGCTGTCTCTGAAGATGAGGATTGTACAGACACTCTCAGCAGCTCCCTCAGCAACATGGCAAAACCAAGAGCTCCCTGCTGCAGGATGGTCCAAAGCAGGCCTCTGGGAAGCAAGCCCCCAGATCATCTCTCTGGGAGCACGTCTGCCATAGGCGATGGAGAAGGAGCCACTGAAGTGCTTCGTTCCAGACAGGCTGCTTTCAGCAGCCCCATTGTAAGTGTTTGTGGGATTAGGCTCTTGCACAGCCACAAGAATGAGGAAAGAACAGCCTCAGGTGGGGCCAAATTCTGTTTTCTTGTCTGTTGGAATATAGACTGAGACAAAAAAACAAGATGTGGTGCATGTTGTGCCATATAATACCTGCAAACAGACATTGTCACAACTTTCTATTTTTGGAAATAGTTCAATGCTGAAAAGTCATAGATCATTTCTGAAAATTATATTTCTACTGAGGGCTCATCATGTCTGAGCTTGAAAAAGGCTCCCTTGTTTTAATGATCGTAGCTCCTGTTCAGAAGCAACAAAGCTTGCCTCATAGCCAGGATACTATCTCGTAGCCAGGAAGGTGTGTGCAATTGATAGGTAAACTCACAGACCTTCAGAGGTCTTTATCACTGTGTAATCATCTTGCCACTACACCTGTGACCTTCCCCATTTTTAGTCCCCAAGTAGCACTTATTAAATATTTCATTTCAGAGCTCAACAAAATGTGTTTTGTTTTGTTTTGTTTTGTTTTGTTTTGTTTTGTTTTGTTTTGTTTTGTTTTGTTTTGTTTTGGAACCAGGGATTGAACTCAGGCCCTTACGCTTTCCAGGGAAGTGCTTATTCTACTGAGCCATCACCCCGGCCCTCAAAATGTGGTTTTGCAAAACCCTACTTACTGCATACAAAGACAGCGTGGAACATGGAAAATAGAAAGACATCCATGTAAAAGAATTGGAAATAAAAAAAAATTAATAATTTTATTGAGAAATAAATAGCAATGAGACAGTTCAAAACTGATTATTAGCACAGTTTCAATAATTAATACATTGCATATTGTTGTCTTAGTGGTTATTCATTGCACAACATGCAGACATGCTATCCAGTCCACAAACACTAATAGAACAAATCTCTCTATTCAGTGATCCAAAAGAATGCAGCTCTGTGTCTATCCTAAATATTTTGAACATGCAGATAACAGAATGGTGGTTCATTTATATCCCCCTTTTTTGTTTAGTTTTGTCAGAGAAGGCTATTCCATTGTCATTTAAATATTGTAGATGCCTGCATTCAGCAAAATATTCCTATGTAGTCCAGTAGTCCATAATAGTAGTGAGTTTTCTGTAAGACTGGCAATGACAAAAGTTGTTGACTTGCCTGGGGAGATGGCTCAGTGCAATAAACGCTTGCCTGGCGAGTACAAGGGCCTGAGTTCAATCCCTGGTTCCACCAAAAACGAAAAGAAAAAAAAAGTTGTTAACTTGAGCCTTTTACAACTCAGTATATTGATGTGGCTTTACTTTTTATAGTCCATTTTTATACTTTTCTGCGGGATTGTTAAGACCAAGATAAAGCCAGACCTATATAACAAGTAGTGTAACTTCTGCATCTGATAAGGTCAGTCAAATCCCCTCAGGATTTATCCTGAAACCCTGTACCGCAGTTTGTAGATCCTTTGTCAGTGTCAGCCATGTGGATGCGTTACGGCCATTGCTTGACCAATTTGCTCTCGGTGAAAGCCTGAGAGAATGTTTTCTCTCTATATGATTCTCCTTAGGCACAGTCTACATCAATGATCACATTCCTCTGTAGCCCCATGATCTCCTTGATCAGAAAATTTGGGACACAAGTGAGTTACTTGATATTACAGTACAGGTTCACCTATGTCCTGAGTCTTCACTGAACTTGAAAGGCCGGGGCCAAAATGTTGGCTGTCCTTACAGCCCTTCTTTTCTCTAATTTTTGGTCTGTGAAATTAGGTTGTTAACCATCCATAAGAGAAGCTTATTGATATTACCTACAACATAGACAGTTGAGGTTAACCTGAATGTCTGAATACAAACATCTTAGGCACAACATGGAACAGGTGTTTTTCCATCAGGTGTTTATATGTTAAACTTAAAGTCCCTACAGAATATGAAGAAAAAAAGTTAAACAAACAAAAATATTTTTAAAAATAGGGATAAACAGTAACATATTTTTACACAGAAATTTAGAAATCTAACTATATACAGCATTGTACCAGGACAGTCCTATGATAATTTTTTTCTTGTTTCTTGTTTTCATTTATTATCCCCCCCACCTTTTTCTTAAACATTTACTTGAGAGACAGTATGGCAGTAATTTTTATGTCATGACAAACAGTACATATTTAGAAGACCAGAATGACAGGCATTCCGAGCATGACCCTACCATTATACATTGCTATCTTCAGTGCAGTTGATTAGTTCACAGATATCAGCATATATAGTTAGTCAGGGTGAGAATCCTACCAATTAACAGCTAGTTTCAAAAACATGCTGCAGATTCTCAGGATCATTCCATAACCCATCATGTGCATATAAATGTATGGCTTTGCCCCTGCCATGTTTCTTAGCTTTTCTCCTTGCCCTCTCTTCATTGTCTAATCCTCAACTTCTTGATTTCCTTTTAATTGTGTTATTCCTTTCTATTTTATTTCTTCTTTGGAGTTCTTATACTAGAGAGATTATACATTATTTACACATGTGGGTCTGGTTTATTTCACTTATGAGTATATCTTCAAGCGTCATCCAATTAAATATAAAGGCTTCAAGTTTATCACTCTTTATAGCTGAGTAATACTTCATTGCATAAAAATATCACATCTTTTACATCCATTCCTCAGGTGACAGGTACCTTGGTTGTTTCCAAGATTTGCTATCACAAATTGCACTGCTATAAACATAGGTATGCATATATCACTATGATATAATGTTTTCAGTTCCTCCAGGAAAATTCCTAGTAGGGGGATAGCTGGTTTGAACAGGATTTCCAGTCTTAGTTTTTTTAAGGAGTCTCCACATAGATTTCCATATTGGTTGCACCAGTCTACATTCCCAGCAGCAGAGAGAAGAGTTCCTTTTTCCCCACAGCCTCTCCAACATTTGTTGTTGTGTGATTTCTTTATGACAGCCATTCTTTCTGGGGTAAGGTGTTATCTATGTGTTATTTTAATTTGCATTTCACGGATGGCTAGTGATGTGGAGCATTTTTTCATATATTTATTCGTTACTTTAATTTTGTCCTCTGAGTAGTGTGTGTTCATCTCGGATGCCCATTTCTGGATTGGGTCTTTAAATTTTGGGACCCTAATGTTTTTTAGTTCTTTATAAATTCTAGAGAGCAGACCTTTGTCTGAGTGCTTATTAGTCAAGATTTTTTCAAAATTTATGGGTTGTTTTTTCACTTTTTTGGTAATTTCTTTTGATGTGCAAAAACTTCTCAATAAGAGGAGGACCTAGTTGTTAATTCTTTCCAGTAATACCCATGCAATTTGATTTTTGTTCATGAAATCTTTGCCTACCCCTATGTCTTCAGGAGTTCCTCCTACTTTCTCTTCCAGGAGATTTAGTGTTTGTGTTTTAATGTTTAGGTCTTTAATCTATTTTGACTTTAGCTTAGTGCATGGTGATAGACCTGGGTCAAATTTCAGATTTTGGCATGTAGAGAGCCAGTTTTTCCAGCACTATTTATTGAAGAGGCTGTCTTTCTTCAAGTAAGCATGTTTGTCCCCTTTGTCAAAGATAAGGTGACTGAGTGTGTTCATAGAGGCTTCTGCATCTTCTAATCTATTCCATTTATTCTTAGGTGTATTTTGTTGCCAATACCATGCTGATTTTATTACTGTAGCTTTGCAGTATAATTTCAAGTCAGGAATTGTGATGCCTCCTGCCTTGTCTTTGCTGCCCAGGATTGTCTTTGCTGTTCTACGTGTTTTCTGGTTCCAAATAAATTTTAGGAATGATTTCTCTAGGTCTATGTTGTAGGTGGGTGGTAGTTTGATAGAGATTGCATTAACTTTGTACAGCAATTTTGAGAGTATGGCCATCTTCACAATGTTGGTTCCTCCTGTCCATGAGCAGGGAATATCTTTCCATTTTCTGAAATCCTCTATGATCTCTTTTTTCAGAGTACTGTAATTTCCCTTGAAAAGATCTTGAGGTTCTTTAGTTAGATGAATTCTAAGGTATTTCATTTTCCTTGGTGCTATTGTAAAAGTTATTGTTTCTCTAATGTCCCTCTCAGTGTGTTTGTTATCTGTGTAGATGAATGCTATTGACTTTTGGGTGTTAACTGTGTATACTGCTATGCTACTAAATTTGTATATCAATTCTAGTAGCTTCTTGGTGGAGTTTTTTGGGTCTTCCAAATAAATTATCATGTCTTTTGCAAATAATGATAATTTAACTTCTTCTTTACCTATTCTTATTCCTTTTATTTCTCTCTTATCTACTGGATCTACCTAATGATTCCAGAACTGCATTGAATAGGAGTGGCGAAAGAGGACATCCTTGTCTTGTATGAGATATGAGAGATTTCAGTTTTTCCCCATTTAGAATTATGTTAGTTGCTGGAGAGATGACTCAGAGGATACGTGCTTCCCTGGCAAGCTCAAGGGCCTGAGTCAATCCCTGGTTCTGTGAAAAAAAAAATATATAGACTTAGAATTATGTTAGCTGTTGGGTCGTCAGAGATGGCTTTTATCAGATTGAAGTAGAAGCCATCTATTCCAATTTTCTGTAGGACTTTGAACATGAATGAGTGTTGGATTTTGTCAAAAGCCTTTTCTACATCAATTGAGATGATCATGTGATTTTTAGATTTACTCTACAGATATAGTGTATTATATTTATAGATTTGCATATATTGAAGCATTCTTTCATCCCTGGGATGAATCCTACCTTATCATGGTGCATAATCTTCTTGATGATTTGATGTATTGTGTTTGCTAGGATTTTATTGAGGAAGTTTGCATCTATGTTCATGAGGGAGATTGACCTGTAGATCTCTTTTTTAGTTGTGTCTTTCCCTGGTTATGGTATTAGTATAATGTTTGCTTCCAGAAATGATTTTGGGAGGATTGCTTCCTTTTCAATTTCATGGAAGAGTTTGAGGAGTATAGATATTGTATCATCCATAAATTTATTGTAGAATTCAACTGTGAATCCTTCAGGACCTGGACTTCTCTTTTTCGGTGGGATTTTTATTAC